AGAATATAATTCTGAAATGAAGAAAGAAAATGCAGTGTTTTCAGGAAAGTGGAAAGAAGGAACTGAGGAATGAAAAACCACCCCCCCCCCCGTGCAGTTTGTTTTCTCCTGGTTTCCTTTCTCTGCTTCTGAACAATGAAAGCTGTAAATCTAGTGCCAGAATTGGAATAAGAACAATTTGTGTTGTGTTTATTGTAGGACTCAGTGAATATAATTGTTTTTGGAAGGAGGGGAAGGTATTCATACTCTTTAGTGTGGGGACCAGCTTCTGTTTTTCGGTTCTCCATGAGCCACAGACAGTACTAATGGTCTACTGCATCTTGAGACCTTTTCATGTTATCAGAAGAAGGTTCCCATTCATCTGCAAGATAAGGGAACAGAATAGGATGGAATGCGTTCAGCTTCGGTTTAGAGCTGGACAACAATATCTGACCACACTCTGACATAGCAGGGATTGCCTCATACATGGAGGACTTCCAGGGTACAAAAAAGAAAAAGAAGAAAATCAGTTTGTACATGTGAAGCCAAAAGAGCTTAATAAGTAAGTTTAAAAAAGGACAAGAGCTTTCTGGGATTGCTAAAATTTCTCACTATAACCAAAAAAAGAGCCCATGCCATCAATTTAAAAGCTTTTCTTCCTGTGCAATATAGGGGAGAATGGAGTTTATTGAAGAATAGTATACTCCAGTATAAAATCCTCAGCAAAGTATATTTGTTTCACTAGTCTTTTCAGTCTCAAAACTAACATTTGCACTCATTTTAGGAATGAGGGTGGTTCCAAAAGCAAACTTTAAAGTCTCCTTCCATCTTTCTTTCTTTCTTTCTTTCTTTCTTTCTTTCTTTCTTTCTTTCTTTCTTTCTTTTCTTTTCTTTTCTTTTCTTTTCTTTTCTTTTCTTCTTTTTTTTTTTGCCACCCACCAGTTTGCTGCATGCTTCTGTAGGGGTTTGCATGCCAATCTACACATATATATACTTGAGTGCATTATGTGAGTCAATGCATGTATGCATCATTGCAAGATCTAGCCTCCTGGGTTCTCCTTTGCTATATTTTCATTAGTGTTGATCCCCAATGATATGCCTATGATTCAGCAATAGAATCGCCTTGCCATGATACTTCCAAAATATTCTAATGAGTGTTAATAACTTGGACTTATTTCATATTTCCAGGAATGGTTTTCTTTACTGATTTTCTTCACCATAATATTTTTATCACCATTTGAGATGTTCAGTGCGGGTGTTCATGAAATACCTCATGCTGTCCTTGGGAAACCTTTGTTCAATATTACTGGAGTTAAAATAGTGTATGCTCCAGATACTAAGATGGCAAGAGAAATAATGAAGAAAATAGAAACACTCTCTCCACTAAAAGGTATAAAGTATCTGTTAAAATGTTTTCAAAGTTTTCAACAGAGGCTAACTTCAACTGGGCTCATTTTGACTGAGTTCTGATAACTATAGAAAAACTATTATAGGTATCCTCCAGTGCTGTTCAGCCCTTATGTAGGTCAGTTTAGAGAAAGTGAGCAATATCACCGGTATATGATTCATGACTGGGTTAGACTGTGGTTTGTCTAACTGTGGTATTCTTCATATATTGTGACTAGCTGATTTTATATAACCTGATAAACAACCCCTGTTTTCAAATGGTAATAGCACCATTTTCCTTATAAGAGGAGTAAAATTTAAACAATTTGATTTTTTTGTGGGTTAGTATGATGGGTGAGCCCAGCCAATATATGTTATGCACAAAGATGTCTTTAAGATTAGGACATCTAATGATAGATGAGTGAAAGGCCTTTGGGGGCCCTCCACTCACACATTTCCACTTGCCTATCTGTACCCCATCTCCTTTTACTTAACTCAGGTGATAACAGAGTTCAGGCTAGAAGGTTAAATATCACTCTAGCTTTTGATCCATTATTATTTTGGCTAACCTTCTGATATAACCTTGGAATGGTAGACTGATACAGCTAATGAAACATCAGCATGCAAAGGCATTTCTCTTCCATTGTCCTGTATAGGATTCCACTTACTAACATGATTTCTGTGCTTAAAGGTATTGAGACAGAAGTGATGGAAGATGAAAAGGCCATGGAAGCAGTGCAGAAAAAGGACATAGAGGCTGTTGGAGTTATATTTCAAGATGACGTTTCATATCGACTTCGATTTCCTTTATATAAAACAATTACTCCAAACAAAGATCTTGCTCTTATAGGTAATTCAAGATGGCTGTGTGTTTAGTTCTAGATATTGTGGAGTCCTTGGGGTTCTCTGAGCTTGGTTGTTTTCTTGCAAATGTTTCATTACCTGGCTAGTTAACATCTTCAGTGCTAGAATGGGATGAGGTTTGCTCTCTGTTTATATACTGTGGCATGCCCTGCCAGTGTTGGTGGGGGTGTTGGTTTTGTTTTGTTTTGTTTTTTTCCCTCTGGTAGTTCCTTGATTAGGGTATTGTTTACTGCTTGATTATATGTCTGGTGATAATCTTGGTGTTAATCTCTGCTTATCTGGGTGATGGCAGAAGTTAGGGTTGGAAGATGTATAGGTGGTTGGTTTCCTTTTTCTGCTGTTCTGGGTTGCTGCAATGTGTTTGTGCTCGTTTGAATAATA